GAAATATTATCCTTTATTTTGGGTAAATGGACTTGGAATATTCTTCCCTATTTTGGAATATTTTACTCCAGTTTGGATGGTGCAACTTGGAATATATGTCCTCTGTTTTGGATGGTGGGACTTAGAATATTCTCCTCTATTTTGGATGGTTGGACTTTATATATCTTTCCTCTGTTTTGGATGATGGGACTTAGAATATTTTCCTCCATTTTGGATGGTGGGACTTAGAATATTTTCCTCCATTTTCTGGATGGTGGTAGAACTTGGAATATTTTACTCCGTTTTGATACGTGGGACTTAGAATATGTTTCCTCTGTTTTGGATGGTGAGAATTGGAATGTTTGCCTATATTTTGGATAGAGAGTCTCAGAATTATGTTTCACTGTTCTGGTTGGTGGGGTTTACAATTGTTTTGTATTTTTGATGGTGGGATTTAGAATATTTGTATGCTACTTTGCGTAATAAGATAAAAATAACCAACAGGGCAGCAGCCAAAAACCTTATTGCATCTCAATTGAGTGTTCAGACCTGGATCCTGGGATATGAGAGGTGAAGCAGTCTGCTCTGGGATTTGATCTCAGATCGGTTTTTTTTTAGTTGTTTGACCAGACAGAGGTCTTATCCAGTTTGCTGCCACCTCTCACTCCCAAGGCTTTTCTTTCTCTTACTTCAGAAGTTTTTTTATTTTGACCATTTTATTAGAGTATTTTTCATCTATTTTGACCGGTGGGACTTAGAATATTTTTCTTTATTTTGGCCAGTGCCCAATACATAGGAATTATGAGCCAGAAAAATAAATTCAGGAGATCCCTCTGCCTGATGGCTTGGGTAGCTGGAGTGTATATATATATTCTGTGAAAAGTGTTGGAGATCTGTGATCGAATCCCAACGTTGGAAGTTATTTATTGTCTCTTGTATTGCACCGAGCGGTTGATGTCCATCTGAATCAAGCCCCTTCTCCAGCCTGATAGGTGGCTCTGAGGGTTAGTAGCAGCCAGTGGCCCAGCAGATATGTTTTGGAGCTGCAGGTTCAAGCCTTGGTTAATCTTTAGTTATTTGCAGCAGGTTAGTACCTGAGGTATGAGAATGAACACCTTGGCATCTGAGTGCAGGTGTGGGCTCAGAGAGTAAGGACTCAGCCTGGTCTGTGGGAGACATGAGTTCAAATCCCTATGATGGTGGATGTCCCAGGTGCTGTGCAATGCCTGAACCCCCTGTTGGTGGAACAGGGTAGTGTGGAATGTTTCAGACTCACTACCTTGTCCTTGCCCCTAGGGGGTTCAGGTACTGTGCAGTGTGTGTGTAAAAATTAAAAAAGCCTAAGTCCCTGCTTTTTGAATGGGCTATCCTGGTAAGACAGCCCATTGTATTTATATATGTTGCAGTGATGTCACAGACCATGGACCGAAGAGGGGGGGTGTCCACAACCTAATGTGATGCCCACACATGTTACAGGCCTGTGGGGGCTGGGACTGGAGCAGACTGGTGGGTTGTCCATGGCCTCCAAGCTTTCACACAGTGATTTGAACACGGGGTCTACGAGGCTTCCTTTAGTGCTCTGTGTGAATTATTGCCGCCCAATTCACTCAGATTCCAGATGGGGGGTCCGCGCCCTTCCATCACCATCCATATCCTCTGAGTTATTTCCGCCCTCTCAGGGATTCCAGCTTGGTTGTTGCACCCTTGGTCACGTTCTCATTCTCTGAGACCTTCAATGTTTGCCCAATCCACTCAGAGATTCGAACTCGGGTCTACCGCGCCCTGGTCACTGTTCTTATCCACTGAGCTATTCACTTCTGCTCGACAACCTATAGGTCTGTTCTCCTATTTCAGGATGACGACGACATGCTTTAAAAAAAAAACCTAAAGGCTGGAACCTGCTAGGAGCTGGCCAACCTGTTGTGGTTCACCAATTTGTTACTCAGCATGCCGCCTGTAATGTTCTGGAGATCTGGGTTTGAATCCCAGTGTTGGTTCTGTTGTATTTCCATGATCTTGGGCAACCTTGGTGACAAATGACAACCCCAATCTTTTGTGACTTTGTTGCAGCTTATGGTTCTGGTAATAGCAATGGGAACATTTACTGAAGGTGGGGTGTGGCACAGCCAATTATGTGTGCACAAAAGTTCCTATTGAAGGTTTAAAGTGCAGGCAGGGACATCCGACTTGGTGACCCTCATCTTAGAAGATGCTTAGCCTTGTCCAGCAATGTCCCCTCTCCATGACCTCCCTGCTAAAATAATCGCCACCACTCCTGATCCAGCGAACAAGAGCTATGAGCAGCTGACCAACATTCTTGTAGGAGAAGGAACAAAACAACACGCCGTGAAAGCTACAGAATAAAACCTACGATACTCAGTCCTCTGCACCCCACTACATCAAATCCTCTGCAAACCATTTTAGCCAAGCCATATGAACCCCGTAATACCCAATTATCTGCACCCCATTATGTCCAATCCTTTTGTACCCAGTTTTACTAAGTCCTTTGAACTACATTATATTGGTTCCTCTGCCACACTCTATGCCCAGTCTTCTGCACCCCATTATAACCAGTCCTCTACACCCCACTATAGCCAGTCCTCTGCACTCCATTATTTCTGGTGCTTTGCACCCCACTATATCCAGACCTCTGCTACACAAGCACATTATACCAAGCTCTCTGCATCACAATATACTCAGTCCTCTGCTCCTCGTTATATTCAGTACCCCACTATACCCATTCCTCTGCACCCCATTATACCCTGTCATCCATGCCGCATCATAACCAGTCATCTGCATCCCATTATACGTAATCCTCTCCAACACATTATAACAAGCACTCTGCATCACATTGTACCCACTTCTCTGTACCCCACTATACCCAATCATCTGCATCCCATTATACCCAGCCCTCTGCACCCCATTATACCCAGCCCTCTGCACCCCACTAAAACCAGTCCTCTGCTGCTCATTATACTAAGTCTTCTGCATCCGATCAAACATAATCCACTCCAACACATTATACCAAACACTCTGCATCACATTATACCCAATCCTCTGCACCCCACTAGAGGCAGACCTCTCCAACGCATTATACCCAATCCTCTGCACCCCACTAGAGGCAGACCTCTCCAACGCATTATATACCCAATCCTCTGCACCCCACTAGAGGCAGACCACTCCTCTGCAACGCATTATACCCAATCCTCTGCACCCCACTAGAGGCAGACCTCTCCAGCACATTATACCCAAGTCCTCTGCACCCCACTAGAGGCAGACCTCTCCAGCACATTATACCCAATCCTCTGCACCCACTAGAGGCAGACCTCTCCAACACATTATACCAAGTCCTCTGCTCCCTGGTATATCCAGTCCTCTGTACCCCACTATACCCACTCCTTTGCATCCAATTATACCAAGCCCTTTGCACCCCATTATACCCAGTCCTCTGTACCCCACTATACCCATTCTTCTGCCTCCCATTATACTCAGTCATCTGCTCCCTATTATACCCAGTTCTCTGTACCCCCACTATACCACTCCTCTGCCTCCTATTATACCCAGTCCTCTGCACCCCATAACACCAATTCCTTTGATACCTATTATACCCAGTATCCTGCGTCCCATTTTACCCAGTCTTCTGCACCACCATTATACCTAATCCTCTACACCCCATTATAACCAGTCCTCTGCACCCTATTATACCTTACACCCAGTCTTCTGTGCCCCATTATATCCAGTCCTCTGCATCCCATTAGAGTGAACCCTCTGTACCACCATTATACTTAGTCCTGTGCTCCCCATTATACTCAGGCCTATACACCCCATTATACCTAGTCCTGTGCTCCCCACTATACTCAGGCCTATACACCCCATTATTCCTAGTCCTGTGCTCCCCACTATACTCAGGCCTATACACCCCATTATACCTAGTCCTGTGCTCCCCACTATACTCAGGCCTATACACCACATTATACCTAGTCCTGTGCTCCCCACTATACTCAGCTCTATACACCCCATTATACCTAGTCCTGTGCTCCCCACTATACTCAGCTCTATACACCCCATTATACCTAGTCCTGTGCTCCCCACTATACTCAGCTCTATACACCCCATTATACCTAGTCCTGTGCTCCCCACTATACTCAGCTCTATACACCCCATTATACCTAGTCCTGTGCTCCCCACTATACTCAGCTCTATACACCCCATTATACCTAGTCCTGTGCTCCCCACTATACTCAGGCCTATACACCCCATTATACCTAGTCCTGTGCTCCCCACTATACTCAGGCCTATACACCTCATTATACCTAGTCCTCTACATCCCATTAATAACCAGTTCTCTACTCCTCTTTACCATCTTTTCCCCCATCTGGAATCCCTTTCTACCCAGAGAAGTATAACAACACAAAGTATTTTATGTTCCCCAAAATGTAAACGTAGTTTTATTTAATGCCGGACCACATACAGCTTTTATATATAAAAATCAGAGATGGTGGCGTAAGGCACAGCGCAGACACATGCGGAGTCCACATCCCATCTATACAATAGAATTAACTAATGTACACAACGCGGCAAATCTCACAATCGCCACGAAGAAGAGATTTATTAAATAAGATCCATGTACACCCTCCCCGCCCCTCAGACAGGTAAAAGGAGCGAAGTGAAAAAAAAAAACAAAAACGAGACAAGTCCATAAATTAGACAAAAATACAAAAAAAAAAAATCTGTTAGACTCAGACAGTTCAGTCCAGATTTGAGTGGTGGAGCGGCCTGGAGTACGTCTGGCCAATCATAATTAGTCTTTGTGCTTCTACACAGTCCCTGTGACAGACTCGAGTCCAGGCTTCACTATAAACATCTTATTAAATAACAGACGGTGAGATCCAGGAAGCGGGCTCCGCCTGGGCGGGGCTCTCAGTCCATTGGATGCCGATGTATTGTACAGGGTGGTCTCTTGTCTGGGCCCGGATTTCCTGGATGAGCCAAGGTCAGCTGACGTCGGTGAGCACCCGGCGCTACAAGTACTCCAGCTCGAGGGCGTGCCTTAAGGCCTCCAAGTCAGCATGGCAAGAGATCCGCCAGAACGGCATGTTGTGCTGCAGCAGAAATGAGAATCGCGGGTCACAGAGAATTCAGAGAACAATTAATCGCATCAAAAGTGTCCTCACCCAGACCTGAACTGAAGAAAAAGAGAGGGGGCGTGTTTGTGAATTAGAAAGGGGGAGGTGTCTGAATAGGTATGTTACTGAGTGCTGATACATGAGAGCACTGGGTCTAACTCTGCAACCTATTGGACTGCACAGAAACCAACATAAAGATGAGAGGGGCGCTAAAAGCTCCAATGCTCTCAATACGGTGATTCACACACACTGATGGGTGCAGCTCCAAAGGGGCCCCTCCCACCTGAATAGATAGACAACAAGCAGAAGATAGGAGTGCACACTGATGCTGCCTGATTCTAAGATCTCAAAACAGGATTCAGATTTTCCTCCTCCCAGACCACACCCTCTAACTCATTTCTTCCACTCTTGGACTTACAAGTAGATATGCCTATAAGTGGGTGAAACGCGTTGGAGGGGAGTGGTCTGGGAGGAGGAAAAGCTGACGTCTTAGAATCAGACAGCTTTGGTGGGTGATATGACTAAGTAGATATGACTAAACCTAGGAGTGGGTGAAAGAATCGCGTTAAGGGGGAGTGGTCTGGGAGGAGGAAAAAAGCTGAAGTCTTAGAATCTGGCAGCTTTGGTGGGTGATATGACTAAGCCTAGGAGTGGGTCTGGGAGGAGGAAAACATGTTTGGTGGGTGATAGTGGGGAGTGGTCTGGGGGAGGAGGAAAAGCTGAAGTCTTAGACATATCACCTACCAAAGCTGCCAGATTCTAAGACTTCAGCTTTTCCTCCTCCCAGACCACTCCCCCTTAACGCGTTTCACCCACTCCTAGGCTTAGTCACATCACCCACCAAAGCTGCCAGATTCTAAGCCTAGGAGTGGGTGAAACGCGTTAATGGGGAGTGGTCTGGGAGGAGGAAAAGCGGAAATGACTCTTGGAATCTGGGAGGAGGAAAAAAATCGGAAGTCTTAGTCATATCACCCACCAAAGGCAGCTTTGGTGGGTGATATGACTAAGTCTAGGAGTGGGTGAAACGCGTTAGAGGGGAGTGGTCTGGGAGGAGGAAAATCGGAAGTCTTAGAATCTGGCAGCTTTGGGGTTTGCTCCTATCTTCTTCTTGTCTATTGGACTGCACAGTCACCCCATATAACCTCTGTAGCAGGAAGTTGTGCATCATGTGACTTCACGTGTGAATCCAATATGTCTATTTACCGATTCACTAAAAATCAGACGATTATTTATCTTGGGTGAATCAGCCAACACGATCCAGTTCCTAATAAGAGAGTAAATCCATGGCCAACCCCATTTTTTTTTTTTTTTAAAGTTCTGGATTGAGAGGGTGATGGGTTATCCCCTTTGCCATGGGGAGATCTCCATTCACTTCCTGCACAGCAGACCCAACAGGAAGTGAAAGGAGTCCCCAAAAGAAAAAGCTCTTCCCCCCCCCATAGGAAGATTTATCCCATGGGGCTACCCCATCACTTCCTGTCTGTGTGACACCAAAATAAAGAGGGTAATTATAGGAAGCGGGGACACAGACAGCAACACAAACCTGACCAGCACAGAAGAAGACCTTCACAAGTCATCCACAGCAGACCATTGTGATGACAGATTGGCTGTTCAGGTCATCCCCCAGGCGCCATACTTGGCCCTTGTTTCTGTTTTCAGGATAAATGAATTTCTCAACTTCACTTTTTTTTTTTTTTTATTTAATGTGAAAAACAGACCACCTGACAGGCCAGGGAGGGGGGGGGGGTATTATGAGGAGACCTGCTAATAGCTGTATACAGACATCTTTATCCCAATGTTCTCACTCAGAGCCCGGTGTTATAATACACAGTGCAGGGACCCGAGTGGCCCCCATCAGGGGGAACCTGTCATGATGGCACGGCAGTGGCAGTCCCTGCCCGTCTCCTGGAAGTGGTGACTGTTGCAGGGCAGCTACACCACCCTGCCCGGGATCCAGCACACAACCAGGAGCCAGACAGGGCTGTAAAAGCCGAGAAGACAGGTTCTCCTTGATAGTGCAGAGCTTCTGTACATAGGGAGCGATAAAAATGTCAGCAGACACTCGGTTTTCATCAGCTGCGGGAAGTGGCGGGGATGTCTGCACAACACTTGGCGGGTTTAATAACCGCTCGTGTCGGTGGAAGCAGAGGAAAGGCTGCTGGTAGGAAGCAGACGCTGTCAGGGGACACCCCGAGTAATGGAGGGGATTTTCTGGAGGAAATTGCTCGGGATGCTTTTTTTTTTTTTTTTTCCTTTACAATCAATCGTGTTTTTATATCAGAGGTCATATTGGAAAGTTTATTGTTGTGGGGGGGAGGGGGTGATATTTACCTTTTTTGCTGCCTGTTCCTCTTCTACGCCATCTCCGATTACAACGTAAACTGCTTTTCTTCCAAACCTTTGCATTATTCTCTCGAAGCAGCACTCCTTCCCTGCAAACAGAGACACGAGTCAGAGCACGTGATAACCTGAGGTTTCATCAACAAAGACAGCGGCCCCAATCCAGAAGCAGTGGGAGGGACTAGGTGTGACCAGGGGCTGACAATGCTGATGGCCACGCCCCCGGCCACATATTCTCCCCCCACTGTTTTACAAGCAGGCACAGCCTACAGGAGGGTGACAACTGTGGGGCTGACAATGCTGATGGCCACGCCCCCGTCCCCATCTTCTCCTCCCACTGTATTACAAGCAGGCACAGCCTACAGGAGGGTGACAACTGTGGGGCTGACAATGCTGATGGCCACGCCCCCGTCCCCATCTTCTCCTCCCACTGTATTACAAGCAGGCACAGCCTACAGGAGGGTGACAACTGTGGGGCTGACAATGCTGATGGCACGCCCCCGTCCCCATCTTCTCCTCCCACTGTATTACAAGCAGGCACAGCCTACAGGAGGGTGACAACTGTGGGGCTGACAATGCTGATGGCAAGCCCCAGCCACATATTCTCCCCCCCCACTGTTTTACAAGCAGGCACAGCTTACAGGAGGGTGACAACTGTGGGGCTGACAATGCTGATGGCCACGCCCCCGTCCCCATCTTTTCCTCCCACTGTATTACAAGCAGGCACAGCCTATAGGAGTGTGACAACTGTGCTGTGAATTCAGGAGCGGTGCAGCATTGTTGTCCCTTCGTCACAGAAAGCTACAATGGTGGACTTCACACAATGAGCATATGTGGGACTTTGCAGGGGGCTCTTGGAGAAAACCGGGAAGGGCAGATACATTTATAATTAAGTGCTGCAACAGAGCTGAAAAAACAGCCACATCTGCTCATCACGTGTCCCCACCCAAACCTGAATTGTAAAGCAAAGAGGGAATGAGTCTGAAAATACAGAAGGGGGAGGTGTCTAAGTTACTGAGTGCTGATAACTGAGAGCACTAAGTGTAACTTTGGAACCCATTGCACTGCACAGTCATATTTAGACACCCTGCGTGACGTTGAGAGCTTTTGAGCCTCAAAATAACCATGAAGAGTTAAGCTAAGTAACGTCACCGGTGTGTGGCCTAATGATGTCACCTGTGTGTAACTTAGTGACATCATCAGTGTGTGGCCTAGTGGCGTCATCAGTGTGTGGTCTAATGACGTCATCAGTGTGTGGCCTAGTGGCATCATCAGTGTGTGGCCTAGTGGCATCATCAGTCCTAGTGACGTCATGTGTGTAATCCTAGTGACGTCATCAGTGTGTGGCCTAATGACATCATCAATGTGTGGCCTAGGGAAGTCATCAGTGTGTAATCTAGTGACATCATCAGTGTGTGGGCTAGTGACGTCATCAGTGTGTAATCTAGTGATGTCATCAGTGTGTGGCTTAATGACGTCATTAGTGTGTGGCCAAGTGATGTCATCAGTGACGTCATTAGTTTATCAGAAACCAACTAATAAAAATGATTATTTCATAGATGTGTATTAGGAACAATGTATAATAGAAGAAAAAAAAGCAGATCAACTTTCCAGCACCTAAATTAATTGAAAGCTCGATAAACCAAATAAATGGAGGGGCCGTGGTTTATGATTCCTATTAAATTTGATCATTTTAGTTGAATTGGATGATAAGTGGAATGATCATATAGATACCTAAACACACTGACTGTGTCAGTTCAACACAACCACCAATGGGATGACAGCTCTCATTTTTCTGGCTCAGGTTAGATAATAAAATCTGATTACTTTGGGGTCTATTTATAGAAAGGAATTTTGCAGCGTGAATGACTTGAATGATTTTCCAAACTGAGATTATTACAGATTGAAAATTGTAACTTTTCAAGGCAACTTTCCTGGAGGTTTCAGCTGCGAAGGTTGGACAGTATACAGATCCCCATTGCCTTAGAACAGCCCTCTAAGCCTCATTACCAGGACTTTCCCAGAAGGTTCCGGAGATTTTCACGGACAACAATGAGCACTCATTCGTGTCTTACTTATTATTTATGCACAAGGCCTACACCCTCCCGTCACCTTCCAATCTGATTGTCGGAGACGCCACTTACCTGTCTTGGTGGCGCTATAAATATTTTCTATGGGGAAGACGGTCCCCAAGCCGTACAGCAGGACTTTGGCGATGGCCGGCACAAGCTGGGTCGTTGTGACCAACACGTTCACACAGTTTGGTCTGCAAAAAAATAATAAAAAATTAAAAAGGCCACAATGTACACATTTATAGTTCCAGAATATACCTCGGGTCATGTATAGCTGGGCGTTGTTTTTTGCTGCACTTATAGCCTGTGTCAATCACAGGTCACATGATTCCCATTTACTCCCATAGTACCATGTGGATGACCGTTCCTGAGGCCTTGTTTGTACCTTGGACACAGCCAGTCCTGTTAGGATGTGTTTGCATTGAAGGTAAAGAAGATCAAATAAAGTCTTTTCCTTACATCCCAGGGATGTGTGTAGTGTTGTGTCTGAGTGCAATAGGTGGTATTTGGTAACAATACTCATGCAAGCGACCCTTAAATCCTCCCTCCGGCCTTCCCCTCCAGTCTTGCACAGGTGTACCGTCTCCTCCCATTCAGTCTTGCACAGGTGTACCGGCTCCTCCCCTCCAGTCTTGCACAGGTGTACCGTCTCTCCCATTCAGTCTTGCACAGGTGTACCGGCTCCTCCTCTCCAGTCTTGCACAGGTGTACCGGCTCCTCCCCTCCAGTCTTGCACAGGCGTACCGGCTCCTCCCCTCCAGTCTTGCACAGGTGTACCGGCTCCTCCCCTCCAGTCTTGCACAGGCGTACCGGCTCCTCCTCTTCAGTCTTGCACAGGCGTACCGGCTCCTCCCCTCCAGTCTTGCACAGGCGTACCGGCTCCTCCTCTTCAGTCTTGCACAGGTGTACCGGCTCCTCCCCTCCTGTCTTGCACAGGTGTACTGGCCCCTCCCCTTCAGTCTTGCACAGGCGTACCGGCTCCTCCTCTTCAGTCTTGCACAGGCGTACCGGCTCCTCCCCTCCTGTCTTGCACAGGTGTACTGGCCCCTCCCCTTCAGTCTTGCACAGGTGTACCGGCTCCTGCCATTCAGCCTTACACAGGTGTACCGGCTCCTCCCCTTCAGTCTTGCACATGTGTACTGGCCCTTCCCCTTCAGTCTTGCACAGGTGTACCGGCTCCTCCCCTCCAGTCTTGCACAGGTGTACCGGCTCCTCCCATTCAGTCTTGTACAGGTGTACCGGCTCCTCCCCTTCAGTCTTGCACAGGTTTAGCGGCTCCTCCCCTTCAGTCTTGCACAGGTGTAGCGGCTCCTCCCCTTCAGTCTAGCACAGGTGTACTGATTCCTCCTCTGGACTGAAATAGCTTCACTGCACACTGGGAGCTTCTCACAATGTGCATTAGAGTCTGCAAGAAGTCAGAGAGAGCTCCGCCTCATTTCCTGGCTGGAGGACATCCAGCATCTTGTAGCTGAATGTCCCTGGCCCGCCCCATTCATTCCCTGCATTTCAGTTCTTTCACTCATGTGGGCATTACCTGAAGTGGTCAAATAGAACGCTCACTCCTCCAGACTGACACTCACTGTTCAAGGCATATTGATATTTGCATAACTCCTCCCAAGAGCCAGCCCACTACTTGCATCAGGACTGAGGACCCTTGAAAGGAGTACTGAGGCAGGGTGCTGTGATGTTTTCATGAATGTATGTACGGCACCCTGCTGGCCCCTCCTACCAGCCATGATCTACCTGCATTCCATAGAGAATGATAGTGATGACATCGTTGGGTCTAAATTAATGTATGTAAAAAAAAAAAAACCCAGAAATGTTGTATTTAATAATTATATCAGTATGTTGATGGGAGGTGGGGGAAGGAAAGAACCAGAGAACACAAAATATATTCACAATAATAACTACGTATGTTCAACTTATAGGGAGACATAAAAAAACAAAGGCTGCATAGTGATGGGAGGGGGAGACTTTCAGTAGCACACAGATGACTTCCTGTCCAGTAAACTTATAAGAGAGCATTGTCTACTGCCAGTTTTCAGCCATAACCTAAAATGGCAGTTTCCATAAAGAACAGATGTTGTACGGTCTGAGGACCTCGATAGCCAGCTGTGACATTATAAGGTGTGTGAGTGACGCACAATCATGTCTCTCTGGCCATGCCTCACCTGGAATGGATGAGATTCAGGGCTTTCAATGCATGCGTCAGCCATAGGTCTGTCAGGGCCTCCATCTCTGCCCGCAGCTGGAGCCACGTCTCCCTCTTGGGGGCACCTATTAGACCTATAGAAGCAGAATCCTCAGTCAGTACGGTGGGCCAAATGAAACTCAACAAAGGGGTCTTTGTTCCAGTTGTTGTTATTACATCGTACAATATCAGCACAATGATACAAAAGAGGAAAATAAATGATAGTAAGCACATACCAACACCCAACTACAAACTTACAAGTCCTCATCTGAGCCCAGTCATGGAACCAACCACTCCCTTCCATTTCATGTTGTGATTTACATCCATCAGTCCGGCTTCTGAATCTGCCCAGCAATATCGCTGGTGCCAGGCAGGTCTCCTGCACACTGTCAGTGTATCTGCTTGCTCATACATCCCATATGTGCAAGCCGATACTTACTGACAGGAAGACTGACTACCACAGCACTCACAGCGGCGTGGTAGTTCATTGAGGACTACATACTGACAGCTGCTAAGGCACTTGGGACTTGTAGTCCATTCATTCACAGAACACTGTAAATGAATGATGCAGCTGTGTGGGCGGAGCCCCACACGGCCGTGCTCTTGTACGGGGAACGTCTCCCAATACTGCTGTCACAGGGAGGGAGGGGCATCAGTCAGCGGCTGCAGGATTAGAAACATGTTACATGTTCCACCCTAAAAATGGGTGGAACATGTAACATGTTCCCAAAGATGAACTTATCCTTTAATCAGGGCCAGTCAGTCCGCCCCTGCTAGCAATTAACTATATGCAATGTACACAAAAATGGGGAACACGGATAAACGGGAATACCTGAGGTGTAAGGAAGAGTCAGGAAGGGGAACCAAGACTGTGATCAGGAACAAGGGGAGCAGGTACAAGGCAGCAGAGTACATGGTACCAGTAAAAGGCAGGAATCAGGATCAACAACATTCAGTATCTGGCTAGCAGGGCAAAACACTGAAGCACAAGTGAATAGTAGAAGAGGAACTAAACACCCTCCCAGCAGCCAGCATCAGGTGGAGACTGGTTACTGGTATATGGTGGCTGCAGGGAGACACCGGCTGGTGGACACCAAAACTACAACCTTCTGCTTTGGGAACCACAGTACCACCAGCAGGTGATCCAGGTCCCGACAGTTAAATACTCTTAGGGGGGCTTTGCATTCCTGAAACGTGCTCTCTACTCTTAGGAATGTCCCTGTTTTTTTTGTTTTTTTTTCTAATACAACCTTCCATTTTGGGAACCACAGAGCCACCAGCAGGTGATCCAGGTCCTGACAGATACTCTTAGGGGGGCTTTGGACCCGTGAAACGTGCTGTCTACTCTCAGGAATGTCCCTTTTTTTTCAAATACACCCTTTCGCTTTCGGAAACACAGAGCCACCAGCAGGTGATCCAGGTCCTGAAAGTTGGATACTCCTAGGGGGGCTTTGGACCTCTGAAATGTGCTGTCTACTCTTAGGATTGTCCCCATGTTTTTTTATTTTGGAACACACCCTTCCACTTTGGGAACCACAATGCTACCAGCAGGTGATCCAGGTCCTGACAGTTAGATACTCTTAGGGGGGCTTTGGACCCCTGAAATGTGCTGTCTACTCTCAGGATTGTTCCCCTGTCTTTTTTGGAATAAAATCTTATTTTTTGTGTTGTAGTTAGTGTCCTACTCCTGCATGTGACACTATAACCCAGTGGTGAAGATCTGCTGATCTTTGCGGTGTCCTTTTATAGAAGAGAAAATAAAAATTCACACAAACAAAACGCAGTAAAATCAGATGATACGGTAATGATGCACAGCACACAATTCCGGCAGTGGCACCTACACCCCCTTCCTCCGCGCCCTGGAATACAATGGTGGAAAATATTTGAATATTTGCAGATGGCCGTTGTGTGTACGCACAGCCGCCTCTTCTAAAAAGCCTCGGCACAGTTTTTTCTGGCTCAGGAACCCCGAACGTAACTGTCCACAAGAGAGGAATGACATGGAACCTCGAAAGGTTCTCAGCGATGATACATGGAAGCAATTAAAAGTCGTAATTATGCCAGCCGTTATTTCTGGGGCTTTTAGAGCTCTGGCAGGAAAAAAATGCGTTTTTGGCAAACGGGATTAAACGCCATAAAAGTAAAGGCGATGGCTCGCTGGTATAAACAACGGACCTGTAAAGATGTCCCATGATAGGGATGTAATGGATGGGAAAATCCACTTTTATTCCTTGGGGAAGATGGAAGAAATGAGGATGGATTTCTACGGGATGATCTGCGCCAGAAGAAGAAAGTACGAGGGGAAGAACTAGGAAAACCGGAGGAAACAACTGCTAACCAGCAAGGCTTCGGCTTTCATTTTCAAGCATCAAAGATTAAATCTCAACTCCAGGAATTTAAAAAAAAAAAATTCTTTAAGTGCCAAACCTGATGGGGACATCTGATGTAAGGGGGCCCTCTGATGGTGATAATCCATGTAAGGGGGCCCTCTGATGGTGATAATCCATGTAAGGGGGCCCTCTGATGGTGATAATCCATGTAAGGGGGCACTCTGATGGGGCATCTGATGTGAGGGGGCACTCTGATGAGAATAATCCATGTAAGGGGGCACTCTGATGGTGATAATCCATGTAAGGGGGCACTCTGATGGGGCATCTGATGTAAGGGGGCACTCTGATGAGAATAATCCATGTAAGGGGGCACTCTGATGGGGCATCTGATGTAAGGGGGTACTCTGATGAGAATAATCCATGTAAGGGGGCACTCTGATGGTGATAATCCATGTAAGGGGGCACTCTGATGGGGCATCTGATGTAAGGGGGCACTCTGATGAGAATAATCCATGTAAGGGGGCACTCTGATGGGGCAGATGATGTAAGGGGGCACTCTGATGGTGCATCTGATGAAAGGGGGCACTCTGATGGGGCATCTGATGTAAGGGGGCACTCTTAGTGGGGACACCTGATGTAATGGAACACTCAGATGGGGCATCTGATGTAAGGGGGCACTCTGATGGGGCATCTGCTGTAAGGGGGCGCTCTGATGTAAGGGGACACAGGTTCTGTTTAATTATCCTAATCTAATAACTGCCTAATACATACCAGTGTATCCCAGGTTGTGACACTGTGACAGATTGTCAGCGACTTTTTTACTGCACCCCCCAGACCAGACAGGCTAGGTCCAGCTCAGTCAACACACAGCCTATTCACAGTCTACAGGCCTCAGTGCTTTTGTAGATGAGGAATTAATAAGTGGTGTGGGGGTGTAGAAGTTATCTACTTATTATTATACTATACAGATTAATCGTTACCGATTGCTACACCCCATTGCCACCTATGTATGTGTCGATTGATTACTAATAGTGCTTGACCAATCACAGGCAATGGCACAGTGCAAAAATCACTCGTGTGTATCCCTATTGTGACTGATGCACACATACCCTGTTACCTGATCATGTAAACCTCTGAGAGTCATCGTGTTGTAAAGTGTCATCGTGTTGTAAAGTGTCATCGTGTTGTAAAGTGTCATCGTGTTGTAAAGTGTCATCATGTTGTAAAGTGCTGCGCACACTGTTGGGGCAATACATAAATCCTGTATGATAATAATAATTAGTATCCTTTTTATATATAAATAAGCCCCACTGCAGTTGAGTGCCTCACGGCTCCACAAGCTGCTTCCACTGTATGAGGCGCCGGATCAGTTTGCAGCTGAAGAATACCTGACAAGTAGAGAGGGGTGACCGCACCCCAAAAAGTTGAAAATCCATCAAATCCAATTCCCTTACCCGTTGATATGTGCAGTTGGATTTTATGGATTTACCATTTGGATCTTTCACTTTTTGGGGTGCGGTCACCCCTCTCTAGTATCCTTTTTTTTTTACCACAAATGAATACAAAGTTGCGATGTTTCAGGAAGTCTTAGTGAAGAACACTCAACAGAAGCAGTGATACGTGGCAGCGGTGATACGTGGCAGCGGTGATACGTGGCAGCGGTGACACCTACCTCCTACATTGTTTTTGTAGGTGCCGTACAGTTCTTTCACTCTTCTGTAGCGAAACGCCAACTTCCTCATCCAGTCCACTCCCCCATGGACGCCGGACCCCAGGCAGAGATTGGCCCCGGCCGCCGAGCTGTGGAATCCATCACCAGAAAAGTTGTATGTGCTGCAAGGACATAAATGGGGGTCAGTCTGAGAGATGTTGTACCTCACATAGAACAAGAAAGAGGGGGCCACACAACCCCATTTTTAAAACTTTGCCTCCCCATTCAGTGAGGAAAAAACTTTTACAGCCTCTCTATATAAGATCGATCTCTCCCCAATTTCTGAACTGAGCTGGTCTAGGTCACTGGTCAGTCTGCTGTTCTCAGTCCCCTTCCTTCACATCATAATCCTCAGTCCCCTTCCTTCACATCATAGTCCTCAGTCCCCTCCCTTCACATCATAGTCCTCAGTCCCCTCCCTTCACATAATAGTCCTCAGTCTCCTCCCTTCAAATCATAGTTCTCAGTCCCCTTCCTTCACATCAAAGTCCTCAGTTCCCTCCCTTCACATAATAGTCCTCAGTCTCCTCCCTTCAAATCATAGTCCTCAGTCCCCTTCCTTCACATCATAGTCCTCAGTCCCCTTCCTTCACATCATAGTCCTCAGTCCCCTTCCTTCACATCATAGTCCTCAGTCCCCTCCCTTCACATAATAGTCCTCAGTCCCCTTCCTTCACATCATAGTCCTCAGTCCCTTCCCTTTCATGACTGAGTCCTCAGTCCCCTCCCTTTCACATCATAGTCCTCAGTCCCCTCCCTTCACATCATAGTCCTCAGTCCCCTCCCTTTCGCATCATAGTCCTCAGTCCCCTTCCTTCACATCATAGTCCTCAGTCCCCTCCCTTCACATAATAGTCCTCAGTCCCCTCCCTTTCACATCATAGTCCTCAGTCCCCTCCCTTCACATAATAGTCCTCAGTCCCCTTCCTTCACATCATAGTCCTCAGTCCCCTCCCTTTCATGACTGAGTCCTCAGTCCCCTCCCTTTCACATCATAGTCCTCAGTCCCCTCCCTTCACATCATACTCCTCAGTCCCCTCCTTTTCGCATCATAGTCCTCAGTCCCCTTCCTTCACATCATAGTCCTCAGTCCCTTCCCTTTCATGACTGAGTCCTTACTCCCCTCCCTTTCACATCATAGTCCTCAGTCCCCTCCCTTCACATCATAGTCCTCAGTCCCCTCCCTTCACATCATAGTCCTCAGTCCCCTCCCTTCACATCATAGTCCTCAGTCCCCTCCCTTCACATCATAGTCCTCAGTCCCCTCCCTTCACATCATAGTCCTCAGTCCCCTCCCTTCACATCATAGTCCTCAGTCCCCTCCCTTTCACATCATTATTATTATACATTATTTATATAGCACCAAAGGGTATGCTCAGCGCTGTACAGTAGCAAGGGGGACAGAACATGAGACAAGACAGTAACAATACAATACACGAGGTCCTTTCCTATCGCAAAGTCCTCAGTCCCCATCCTTCACATCAGAGTCTTCAGTCCCTTAGGACAGACATGAAAGAATGCTATCAATGGTATATCTGAGAAACCAAAAGGGAGCAAATAGGAGGCGTTCAGTGCTGGGGCTTACAGACATTGGAAAAACATAAAAATGAGAACTAATGGGACTCTGGGCTCCCTCTATAAGGAGATGGACCCCCAGCAGTCAGAGGGCCCCCAACAGTCAGAGGGCCCCCCGGTGGAAGACTCGCTTCATTATAGGGGAGATTTACTGTAACTGGAGCACTCAGGATCTGGTGCAGCTGTCCATGGCAGCCAATCAGCTTCTAACTTCAGCTTGTTCAGTTAAGCTTTTACAATAAATCCTGAAAGCTCATTGGCTCCCATGGAAAGCTGCTCCAGTTCTAGTAAATCTCTCCCAATGTCTTTCCCCTGAGCGGCGTTCCTCCTGCGAGGGTTCTACGTCTCCTCCTGCGAGGGTTCTACGTCTCATTCTCACTTTCCAGCACAGCCGGCACGTTATACTCAGGAGGACTTGCAGCATGTGAGAAAGTCATTATCTGCCGCGTGGAGTAAATATACGGATCAGCGCGGAGCCAACTGTGATGTCACTGCGTCAGATCATTAGGCGCTGGGGAAGAGTCTATGACATTATAACGGCACACGGTGCCAATAAAGCAATGTTGGACTGTGGCATCACATGGGGGGGGGGGGGGGGGGAGTTACACAGCATTGCCCTCCCCCCGCTGCACAACAAAGATCCACATACAGACGTTGGAAGGAAAAAGTCAGGAGATGGAAGTCAACAACCCATCGTGGATGTTTCTGGGAAAACTGAGATTTACAAAGAATGAGGGTGAGAATGTAACCATCCCACCAAACGTCACCAATAGAAGACATCCAACGTGACCACAAGTAGGCGCTACAGGTATGAGTAACTGGAAGGAATTGGATCAACCTGCCATCTATCTCTGTATGTAGGTCCATTCCAGACAATCTCACCTCAAGTCTTGCCCGTTGTCGTCCGAGGAGACGTCGTCTATGTGGATCTGGTCACACTCCTAAAAATAACAACAGAAAAAGGTCAATACGGTATTTGTGTCTTCCCGTGTAGAAACTCCTACTTCTCTGTACAGCACTGCGGTATATGTCAGAGCTATATCAATGTAGAATAATAATAGTGTGTGACTGTGGGGGAGGGGACATTAGAGTGTAAGCTCCTCTGGTACAGAGACTGATGGGACTGTGGGGGGAGGGGACATTAGAGTGTAAGCTCCTCTGGTACAGAGACTGATGGGACTGTGGGGGGAGGGGACATTAGAGTGTAAGCTCCTCTGGTACAGAGACTGATGGGACTGTGGGGGGAGGGGACATTAGAGTGTAAGCTCCTCTGGTACAGAGACTGATGTGACTGTGGGGGGGGGGGCATTAGAGTGTCAGCTCCCCTGGTACAGAGACTGATGTGACTGTGGGGGAGGGGACATTAGCGTGTAAGCTCCTCTGGTACAGAGACTGATGTGACTGTGGGGGGGGGGGGGGGGGCATTAGAGTGTAAGCTCCTCTGGTACAGAGACTGATGTGACTGTGGGGGAGGGGGCATTAGAGTGTAAGCTCCTCTGGAACAGAGACTGATGTGACTGTGGGGGAGGGGACATTACAGTGTAAGTTCCTCTGGTGCAGAGCTGAAGTGACTGTAGGGGAGGGGACATTAGAGTGTAAGCTCCTCTGGTACAGAGACTGATGTGACTGTGGGGGGGGGGGGGCATTAGAGTGTAAGCTCCTCTGGTACACAGACTGTATCATAATAGTGTGTGACTGTGGGGGAGGGGACATGAGAGTGTAAGCTCCTCTGGTACAGAGACTGATGTGACTGTGGGGGAGGGGACATTAGAGTGTAAGCTCCTCTGGTACAGAGACTGATGTGACTGTGGGGGGGGGGGGGGGACATTAGAGTGTAAGCTCCCTGGTACAGAGACTGATGTGACTGTGGGGGGGGAGGGGACATTAGAGTGTAAGCTCCTCTGGTACAGAGACTGATGTGACTGTGGGGGAGGGGACATTAGAGTGTAAGCTCCTTTGGTACAGAGACTGATGTGACTGTGGGGGGGGGGGGCATTAGAGTGTAAGCTCCTCTGGTACAGAGACTGAAGTGTGACTGTGGGGGAGGGGACATTAGAGTGTAAGTTCCCCTGGTGCAGAGCTGATGCGACTGTGGGGGAGGGGACATTAGCGTGTAAGCTCCTCTGGTACACAGACTGTATCATAATAGTGTGTGACTGTGGGGGGTACATTAGAGTGTAAGCTCCTCTGGTACAGAGACTGATGTGACTGGCTCAGTGATCTCTGTACAGTGCTGCGGTATATGTCAGAGCTATATCAATGTATTTGAATAATGAAGACTCCAAGCTGCTGACTTCTGATTGGTTGCTTTGGGTCACTGTACATGGCGGTGTGTGGAGGGAGAGAGGTGCGGTGAGCTGCGGTCCCCCCTGGCTCCCGGCTCCGGTGTATTATGTAAGGTGGAAGGTATTTGTATGGACTCCAATCTGCTTTTCTCATTTACACTGGAACAGAACGCGGTATTGTGTGACATCCGTGGCTATCACATATCCGTCTTCTCAATAAGCTGCCACTGGTGCACAGACACTACCTCATAGCCCACCGATGGGCACGGTCGTCTTTCCAAGGCAAACACAGTCCAGCCTCCACAGCGGCATGTCTGTCACTCATTGTCTATCGGCAAGGACTGTGTCTGGTGATCTCTGTACTGAGGAAGTAGAGTCTGACCTCCTGAAAATCAGGTGAGACCTCAGAAAGTATTGGTGTCAGACACAGCCAGGCAAGTAGCATTTTCAGAATGATCTCAGCAGTGGCAGCCTACATAGGTTTCTCAGCACAGACTTCCTTTGAATCTTCACTATAAATATGTCTGACAGGGAATGCTGGAACTTGTGGTGCTACCAGCTGGCTGGATCTGTCTCCTTCCCCCACAGTACAGTACAGTAAAAACCATTCACCAAAGACGCACGTTTCCCATCTCCTTCCATGAGGTCTGCAATGGCTCGCTATTTTCTAGTTTTTTGCCTTTATTGCCATGTAATCGAGCAGAATATGTGAATTCTGGAGCACGGCTCCTCCGGTCACACAGATTAAAGGGCCTTGATAGGGTACCAGAATAACCACTTTGGGTCAAATCTAAGACTACTGAACAAACATGAATTGCTCTAAAAACTATCACATTGTAATGACAATAATACACAAGGTGATATCAAAAGGTTTTGTAACACACCAACAGATGGCAGCACAAGGCTGCATACAGAGCCACAGGGAGCACCGACCTTCATAAGTCAGTGTGCCACAAGACATTGTCCTGTGTACATTAGGAGCTGTGCAACTGGTGCTATTCTGACCACGTGCGTTATGTCTGCTATTCCATCATTAGAACAAAGAGGAAACGTGAAATGATGAGAACAACCCACAACATGGCTGTCATTGTCATTGTGTCATATGGAACAGTCCAGACCAGGGGCAGACTGACCATTGGGGAACTCAGGCACTGCCCGAGGGCCCAGGGTCAGTAGGGGGCCCCATGAGATGTCCCTGGTACCTTCCATAGGCTTTTTTTTGGCTGTGGTTTGAGTGAGGACAAGGACACAGGGGCCCCATGATCCCCTATTGACCGGGGGCCCCATGAGTTGTCAGTCCACCCTGGTCCAGGCGATCCTCACATGTGATTTGAACATGAACCATGTTGCTGCGAGGTTCATCCCCAGGCTTCTATCCCAGGAGCAGAAGGAACACCGCGTCGATGTCAGCCAAGAACTCTGTCAGTGTGCAGTGGATGACTTTCATGTTGAGGATTATTACCGGTGATGAAACTTGGGTGACCGTGTTTCACACAGAATTTCACGTTTGCTGTTTGTTCTAACTTTCTAAGCACGATGAAATAGCAGACGTGGTAACGCACGTGGTCAGAATAGCACCAGTTTCACAGCTCCCGATGTACACAGGACGATGTCTTTTGGCACACTCACCTATGAAGGTCGGTGCTCCCTGTGACTGTGTGTGCAGCCTAGTCTTGAATCTTTTGATAGTACCTTGTATCAATAGATGGATTGAAAAGTAAATCATTGATACAATGTTTCCTAACTGTATAATGTATAGAATGTATCATCTCCATATCTCCAAGGAGACTTGGGGCACTCAGTAGAAAATAGGGGCATGTGCCTCCGATGCCAAGGTCTACCAATGCTGCCAGCGCTGGACCATGGAGGAAGTTGGAGAGTGGAGAGAAGGTAAGTGAAGACTGCCACTTTTAGGGGGACCATTGGCAAAATTAGGGAGACACAAGAAGTGAAAAAAATATCCAATAAAAACTCCTTTAGGCCTCATGCACACTGAGCATCAAGACAGTTGCTTTTAGGGGCATCTGGCAAATTCAAAGTCAAGGGTCTCCAAACTATGGCCCTCCAGCTGTTGAAGTACTACAAGCCCCATCATGCCTCTGCGCGGCTTGTCTGTGGCTGTCAGAGTCTTGCAAGGCCTCATGGGATTTGCAGTTCCTCAACACGTGGAGGGCCATAGTTTGGAGACCCCTGCTCCAAGAGCCCCTCTATGTCAGCCTGTGGGGGAGATTTACTAAAACTGGAGCACTCAGAATCTGGTGCAGTTGTGCACGGCAGCCAATCAGCTTCTACCTTCAGCTTGTTCAATGAAGCTTTGGCAATAAAACCTGAAGGCTGATTGGTTTCTATACAGAGCTGCACCAGATTTTGCACTCTCAAATTTTGCATTTTGCCTTTAGTAAATCAACCCCAATGCGTTTCAGGGGTCTTAAAAACTCCCTTCTTCATGGCTGAACTAATTAAAAAAAAAGTGTGGTGCTCTGATACCTTGTGGCCATGCAAAACTATATTATTATTATTATATAGGATTTATGGCGCCAACAGTTTGCTCAGCACTGTACAATATAATACTATATTAGCATTGTGAAGTGCTGACCTGGGACAGGCATATTTATCAAGAAAGTCAGAGAAAAGTCAGATTTGGTAATGGGATAGCGACTCAAAGCATTGAAGCATAGCGGCCAGGCAGCTAGCATTTTCAGAAGGTCAGCAGTGGTTTCCTTTAAATGTACCCAGGTACACCACATCAGCATTTACATTGGAGAGGAATCCCCTGTGACTCAGAGGAAATGCAATGTGTGGGCTACTATGCACAAATCTGATTGGCTGCCGCTGCCCTAAAATATGTGCATGCTGTGACCTCTAACTTCTTCTCTGTTCTCACAGCAGCTTGAATCCGCTATTAATAGACATCACATTTGTTGTTAATTGGCCAGCTCGCTCAATCAGCTGGAAATCTAATTTCCGCAAACCAGTTTTTACAGCCTTGGCCCGTACGTGTGCCTGCGCACTCTCCCTGTTGTGTGCCGGGGGTACCTAAACACTCACACATCTGCCAGGATCACATAAAAAAAAATAAAAAATGGTGGCATCAATAAACCACATGATGGCGCTCTTTCGTCAGTTTCACCAAATTGCCTAGGAGAGTGTTCAATCCTCTGGCAGATGGAGTCGGTGAATACAGCCGAAAACCCGGGCATTCTTCAAAGTTCGCAGGTCTAGCTGGTAAACGGCAGAATTAGATGTTGGCAAGGCAAGAAAGGGCTTATAGATGTGAACCAGAGGAAAAAATTTCTAATGATGTAAAAGGACGAGAAGGTCACAGCAAAAGCATCTCGGGGCCGTAAACGCCCTGCCATTAAACCATCTCAACTCATGTAAGAGTAAGGCGGCACAAGGCGCCGAGGAATTCAAAATGAAAGTTAAAAGAAAATGCCACAAAAACCCAATGAAAAAAAAAAATTCTTGGGCCCAAAGAGGAAAATTTTCCTGTGGGAGACCCAAGAGGAACACAAATTTTGTGGCGAGAAGGAATAAACAGATGACCGCGCGGAAAGAAAACAATGTGATTGGAGCGCTGCGCCGTGCCAGGAGCTGGCTTGTAATTTGGCACTTGTGTGGTCAAACGTCCGGCGAATCGCAGGAGATATTTCCAGAGGCTGCGTCTTATCTGGAATTAATTACAGAGGACTCGTGGAAGAGGAAAACAGTAAATCAGGGTTGGAAGTGTTGGGCGGTTGTTGGTTGGAAAATAAAGGTCTTCGTGAAACAATACGTCTTGATTGCATTGTGTTTTTTGATGGCACTTGTGGCTGTTTTCATGTGCTTTTTGGGGAAGTCGACGGCGGGCAAGACGTTGATGTGAATTTCAAAGCAGCTGTGGTTTTTCCTGCATCTTTGAGCACCCTGGCGCAGTTACCACCATTCATCCAATGGGATGGTGGGAGTGATGTTGACTACTAACTACAGACCTAGATTGTGCCATGAACAGAGCAGATCCCTCCACTGGTGCTGGGTGTCTGTGGGAATTCATGTGCCTTTCCAAGGTCAGGAACTGCTGTTAGATGAGAGGACCTGGCTTGTAAAGGTGATCATTTGGGCTGTGGTCAGGGATCTGACTCGAGTTCCTCCGCACCCAACTGGGCACACCATGTCTTTATGGAGTTGGCTTTGTACACAGAGGCACAGTCATGGTGGAACAGAAAAGGTTCTTCACCAAACTGTTACCGCAAGGATGGAAAAGCACAATTGTCTACAATGTCTTTGCATGATGACACCTGAATTCCCTCATTGGGATGAGGGGGCCACATCCCACCACCATTCGTCCAAAGTAATGATGGGAGTGATGTTGACTAATAACCAGGGACTCAGATTGTGCAGTGAATAGAGCCGACCCCTCTACTGGTGCTGGATGTCTATGGGAATTCATGTGTGTTTCCAAGGTCATGTGCTGATGTTGGACAAGAAGACCTAGCTTGTAAAGGTGATCATTTGGGCTGAGATCAGGGAACTGACTAAAGTTCCTCTGCACCCAATTGGTCAGACCAGCTGGTTTTGAACAGGGAAGACCTGACTTGCAATTGGCATTCCAACTCCTCCCAAAAATGTTCCGTAGGGTTGAGGTGAGGGCTCAACATTCGAGTTTCTCCACAGCCATCTGGTCAGACCATGTCATTAAGGAGCTGACTTTGTACACAGGGGACAGTCATGGTGGAAAAGAAAAGGGTCTTCACCAGACTTTTACCACACGTTTCGAAGAGCTCAATAGACAACAATGTCTTTGTATGATGGGGTATTACCAGAACCCTTTACTGGAGACACCTGAACTCAATCATTGGGAAGCGTGTGTGTGTGTGGAGGGGGGAGGGGGGTCACATACTATACAGTGTTTAATACATTTGAATGTATATGGAAATTTTGACTTTTCCTGGAAAAGTCAAGCTTGGCTCCACCATTCACCATGCTGGTTTCAAAGAGCACAATTGTCTACAGCACGGGTGTCAAACTGGTGGCCCTCCAGCTGTTGCCAAACTACAAGTCCCATGAGACACTGCAATATTGACAGTTACAAGCAGGACTCCCAAAGGCAGATGCATGATGGGACTTGTAGTTTCAACACAGCTGGAGGGCTGCCAGTTTGACACCCCTGGTCTACAGTGTCTTTAAAGGATGACACTGAACTCCATCATGAGGGGGGCTACATTAAGTGTAGGTGTGATGGTCAGTTGTCCACAAACATTTGGCTTACCTCTATAATCAGCATTATGAACGGGATAGACGAGTATCATTGTAGATGGACACTTACCTCTAGGTCATTGAAGAAGAGGTGAGTGTCAGCAAGGTTGAAGATCATTTCTTCCATCATAAGACCAATCCGTACTGCTGTGGTTGTGTCCTGAAGAGAGAGCAGAGACTGGATCAGAGGAGGCTGAATCGCAAACAAGTTGTCGCAGACAGAACTAAGAGCAACAATGCCATGGAGATCATAAACTTGGATCCTTAGAGAATCGTTGGTATTTATATCTTCATCTGGCAGGCATAGGCCGCAGTCTGATTGTACGATCTCCATTTGCTATACAAAGTATATACTAAGAATGACTGGAGGAGAACCCATGGGTTAGCCCTCACAAGGTAGGTACATTTCAAGGAGATGGTGCGCGGTATGTGGATAGGTTTATTGTTCAGATGTCAGGTGACTTTATGTTTTAGTAGGTGGTAGTTTGTAGTTTATGTACTATTATGGAGAAGGAAGTCGGAGGGGTGGGGACAGACAGAACACCTACTGAAAAATCTAAGATGAGAAAGCCTAGAGATGATAATTACAGATGGAAATCCCAACAGACCCCATTATATTTAGGAAACCAGATACCAGCGTGTTTGCAGAGCCCAGATAAAGGCCTGTGGCACATCTGTGCATGCACCAAATGTTCAAAGATGGTGGTGCGGGAGAAGAGGGGTGACACCCCTATACAATATATTATCTATTGAACTTTCTCTTTAAGTGCAGCATTCTAAGTAATGTGTCAGTGTAACACTATCAGGTATTTATAACCGAACACAGGACCCCCCCCCCCCCCCTCAACAATGCCTTCATCTACTTTCCGCTCCAAGAGGAAAGAGCCATCTTTGTTCAGGCATCATCCACAGTCACCATCTACTCCCTGGACTGAGGTGTTGGCTCAAAGATGACACAATTATGTAAATCCCTGTGCAGTTCTTGGCTGTGTACACAAACATCCGACACAGATCAGCCTCTGCTGCGGCCTCTCACCATTTCATTTGCTACAAAGTTACAATGTTCCAGTTTAATTTGGAACTTGTGGCTCCAATGTTGCCGCCACTCATCTTTTGATTTGCTGCAAAGTTACAATGTTGCGGCCTCTCACCTTGTGACTGACTACAAAGTTACAATGTTGCGGCCTCTCACCTTGTGACTGACTACAAAGTTACAATGTTGCGGCCTCTCACCTTGTGACTGACTACAAAGTTACAATGTTGCGGCCTCTCACCTTGTGACTGACTACAAAGTTACAATGTTGCCACCTCTCACCTTGTGACTGACTACAAAGTTACAATGTTGCGGCCTCTCACCTTGTGACTGACTACAAAGTTACAATGTTGCGGCCTCTCACCCTTGTGACCGACTACAAAGTTACAATGTTGCCTCCTCGCACCTTGTGACTGACTACAAAGTTACAATGTAGCGGCCTTTCACCTTGTGATTGGATACAAAGTTACAATGTTGCTGCCTCTCACCTTGTGACCGACTACTACAAAGTTACAATGTTGCCGCCTCTCACCTTGTGACCTCTCACCTTGTGACTGACTACAAAGTTACAATGTTGCCGCCTCTCACCTTGTGACCTCTCACCTTGTGACTGACTACAAAGTTACAATGTTGCTGCCTCTCACCTTGTGACCTCTCACCTTGTGACCCACTACAAAGTTACAATGTTGCGGCCTCTCGTGATTTACTATGAAGTTACAATGTACAGACTGATCACTAAGGGAGAGGAGACTGAGGAAATGCTTCCTTCTGCCCACAGCAGAGAGATGACATCTCACCGTGGGAAAATTCACTGACTGGAGATCACAGATGGTTTTCTAATGCTGAAAGATGGAGCTTTTCTGAAGAATTAAACTGTGTCTGTATCTTGTGACATGCCTGGAATGGATTCCTGCAGACGCAGAGTTCTGACTTTTCTACAGACTGTCATTGCGTTAGGTCTGGATGCACATCATGACATGGATAGCTCAGAGAACCTTCTGTATGTAGGTGGAAGAACATTCACATTGTAGACAATGGCCCTGTGCTCTCCTCCACATATTTGTGTACAAGTCTCGTCTCCCACCCTGTGTTCAGACACGCTGAGAGCGCCGATGAACCCCCATACCTGCGCCCCCCCTTCCTGTTTGCTCGGCCTCCAATCACCCTGACATTCACACGGCCGCCACAATGAGCGATAAGCCCTCGCAGGACTACTTCCAGAGCGCCGGCCCCCTTTTCTCTTCTGCTGCCAACTACCTGCCGAGCCCCAGAGCAAATAATGACACTGCCACGGGGATGAAGGCATTAATTATGTGTATTTATGAAATCAGACTGCTATTCTGCGGCTTTATCTGCTGGGGATGTCATCCAGGGGTTAGAGACGGATTAGCAGACAATCGAGGCCTTTCTGTGCTGGAAACTCCTACCTGCGGTTTTACCTGCGCTAATGAAAGTGCCTCAAATCACAGAGAATGTCAGATCCGTAATTGCACTTAATGACTTGGGAACGCTTTACAAAACAGACCTGTTTGGCGGCCTGACACTGAGGTGCTAATCCACAACATATGTTAAAGAATGAGAGCTCTGCGTGTACATAATGCAGGGTCAGTCCACCCAAAACTGAAGTCTGTGTTTTATTGGCTGATTTCATCCAGTAATAAAACTAACATTCAGAATTCCGATTCAGAAAACTTCATTAAAAAGTCACCCCAATTACACAGCATCCATGTTAGTGTCCCCCCCAGAGTCAGACACACTGATACAGACAATTGTGGGCAGAGTCCAGCCAACCCACCAATAAGGAATCCGATTGTGGGCAGAGTCCAGCCAAACCCACCAATAAGGAATCCGATTGTGGGCAGGGTCCAACCCAATAAGGAATCCGATTGTGGGCAGAGTCCAGCAAACCCACCAATAAGGAATCCGATTGTGGGCAGAGTCCAGCAAACCCACCAATAAGGAATCCGATTGTGGGCAGAGTCCAGCAAACCCACCAAACCCACCAATAAGGAATCCGATTGTGGGCAGACTCCAGCCAACCCACCAATAAGGAATCCGATTGTGGGCAGAGTCCAGCCAACCCACCAATAAGGAATCCGATTGTGGGCAGAGTCCAGCCAACCCACCAATAAGGAATCCGATTGTGGGCAATAAGGAATCTGATTGTGGGCAGACTCCAGCCAACCCACCAATAAGGAATCCGATTGTGGGCAGAGTCCAGCCAACCCACCAATAAGGAATCCGATTGTGGGCAGAGTCCAGCCCACCCACCAATAAGGAATCTGATTGTGGGCAGAGTCAAGCCAACCCACCAATAAGGAATCCGATTGTGGGCAGAGTCCAGCCCACCCACCAATAAGGAATCTGATTGTGGGCAGAGTCCAGCCCACCCACCAATAAGGAATCCGATTGTGGGCAGAGTCCAGCCAACCCACCAATAAGGAATCCATTACCATTTTTGCCTTGGATGCTCAAGGACTTATCCCACCACTGAGAAGACCAATTGCCAATGTACTGCCTGAAAACTTCGCCCCACTCCATCCATTTCCATTTTTGTCTTGGATGCTCAAGGTCCCAAAACTGAGATCAAAAGTTACTCTACTACCCCATATCTTAGCCCCGCCCCATCCATAGCTGCCCAGGATGCTCAAAGACCTTGTCCCACCACTGAGGAGACCAATCGCCATTGTACCCCCTGATAATTTGGCTCTGCCCGTCTGCATTTTTGTCTTAAATGTCCAAGGACCTTGTCCCAGCACTGAGAAGACAACTGCCATTGTACCGCCCGATAATTTATCCCAACCCATCCATTTCCATTTTTGTGTTGGATGCTCAAGGACCTTGTCCCACCACTGAAGACAAAGGTCACAATTATGCCGTCCAGTAACTTGTCCCAGCCCATCCATTTCCTTTTTTGTCTTGGATGCTCGAAAACCTTATCCTACCACTGAGGACACCAAACCTCCTGATAATTTGGCCCCATCCATCTGCTCTTTTGCCTTAGATGCTCAAGGACCTTGACCTGCCACTGAGAAGATTAACTGCTACTCTACTGCATAATAACTTAGTCCCACCCCATCCATTTCTGCCTTGGATGCTCAAGGACTTGTCCCATTACTGAGGGGACCAATTGCCACTGTACTGCCCGATAACTTGGCCCCACACATTTGCATTTTTGCTTTAGATGCTCACTGACCTTATCCCATCCCTGAGAACACCAGTTGCCATTGTACCTCTTGATTACTTGGCCCACCCAATTTGCATTTTTGCCTTGGATACTCAAGGACCTTGTCCCACCACTGAGGAGACCAATCACCATCCCGTTAACTTGTTAGCGCCCCATCCATTTCCCTTAAGGTGGCAAAATGCTAGGCAGATGGCTTGCCCCATCCCTGAGCCAATGCCCCCCTGTCCCCCCAATCACACCAATTGCCATTGTACCTCTTGATAACTTGGCCCCCCCCTTTTGCATTTTTGCCTTGGATACTCAAGGACCTTGTCCCACCACTGAGGAGACCAATCACCATCCCATTAACTTGCTTCCGCTTCTTTCCATTAAGGTGGCAAAATGCTAGGCAGATGGCTTTCCCCCTCCCTGAGCCAACGCCCCCCTGTCCCCACAATCACACCAATTGCCATTGTACCTCTTGATAACTTGGCCCCCCCTTTTGCATTTTTGCCTTGGATACTCAAGGACCTTGTCCCACCACTGAGGAGACCAATCACCATCCCATTAACTTGCTCCCGCTCCTTTCCATTAAGGTGGCAAAATGCTAGGCAGATGGCTTGCCCCATCCCTGAGCCAATGCCCCCCTGTCCCCCCAGGCATAAGACTGTGCATGGTCCCACAGAGGTGGTCACAGCACCGTTTAGCAGACATGTTCTGGCCGGGAGACGTACCTTAAATCCCCTTAGTTTGGGTGGTTGATTCTTTGACCAGCTGTAAATTGTAGCCATTAATTTGGCGCGGACACTAGAATTTATGACTACATCGAACCTCACAAAGCAGCCAACCTGGAGAGGCAACCGACACCCTATACCTTGTGATTTATACTGCGGCCTGAACTCTAAATATCCCCTAAAAAGTGCAATTAATAAAAAGGTGTGTGTGTGGGGGGGGGGGTCTG